AGGAGGATCTCAGGTTCAAAGCCAGCTTCAGCAACTTAGCAAGGCTCTAAGCAACTCAGGGAGACCCTGTCTCTAAACTAAAATATAAAAAAGGGCTGGGGATGTCGTTCAGTGGTTAAGCTCTTGGGTTCAATCTCTAGTACCAAAAGGAAAAAAAAAAAAACTTTAAGAGTATCAAAAAGTAAACCTGTGACCTTGCCATGTATTTACTAGTCATTACCAACTACTCCTTAAAATGCTGTCAGGGACTCACATGCAGAAAGTTTTGTGAACTTACAATCTTTTTGAGCAGATATACACTAGTTGTGACCAAAACCCAGCTTCACGTTTTGTAGTAACTGCTACAGTCAAAGTTATCAAATCTTTGTACAATAGAAAAGTATTTAAAATTTACTTTTCTACTGACATTTGTAATTCTAGTGTAAATGTTTATCAATCAAGAATTACTTTTTTAAAGGCTATATATCAAAGTATTTAAAGATAAAACTATATGAAGGGCTGGAGTTGTGGCTCAGCTGTAGACATTGGCCTAGCACATGTGAGGCACTGGGTTTGATCCTCAGCACCACATAAAAATAAATAAACAAAATAAAGGTATTGTGTACATCTACAACCAAAAACATTTTTTAAAAAACCTATATGATGTCTGGGATTTACTACAGAATAACTGGGGGTCACATTGAAGAAGGGGGGTAGAAATGAAAGAAGATTGGCCACGTATTGGTGATTGTTGAAGTTCAGTGGTGGGTACAACAGGTTTGTTATACCAGTGCCTTTATGTTTGCATGTTTGAAGATTTCCATGATCAAAGCTTAAAAGGAAGAAAAAACAGATTTTTCTGAAACACTCAAGTAATGATAAAAGAATGATGATGGAGTTGTTCTCAAGAAATAAGAACCAAAGTTCATATTAAAATTTAAATCACAATTCCTCATCTAGTGAAAGTCATTTTATGACACCAATGGACATGAAGAGCTTACAGTGTATATTTGTGGAGATGTGCAGGCTCACGGAGGAAGGAAGTTATCAAAAGATCAGTGGGATTTATTTAGACAAACATCTTCAGCGTAGCCTTCTTCTAATGTCTTAGCGATGCCCATGGGGTGTTTATTTGTTTATTTATTGGTTTTTTAAAAAGTCTTCAAATCATCTGGGGTTTAAAATTTAAATATTAGGTTGTAAATTATTTGGATTTAAATAAGTAATTTTAATGCATGAACTAACTAAATTATTAATTTTAACTTATTTTAATTTGAAACAGAAAATAATTATTTGAAATAAAATAATTTAAATAAATAAACTGAAAATGTAAATTATTTTAATTTAAAATCTAAAGTGATTATTTGAAATGAAAAGAGGATGGAAACAAAATGCCAACAACAGAAGCAGACTTCAATATTTCACAGAAAAGCATTAGTGGTTTGTGATCCTCTCAATTTGGACTATGAAGACTGAAAGAAAAAAAAAACAAGCAAAACAAACATGAGTAATTGCTGAGACATTAGGGAAAGGCTATATTAAAGTTGTTTGCTTGGAAACATTGTAAATTTGTAATAAATAAGGTTGTCACTTTTTAATGACACTGTGGAGAGCAGGCTGTGCCCTGCCCATGATATGCAGTTTTCAAACTGTGCTTGAACCTGAGTTTGCCTTGACCTTCTCCATTTTGAGTGAAGTGCAGATTGAGAATGACCCTACACCCTATTTGTACAGTAAACAGTCCCATCTGTTTGGCACAACCATAAGGCACAAACGGATAAGTCAATCACGATAATAAACATGAGCTCCTATGGACTTATAAACTAATCAGAAGTACGAGGATGCATGGGACTATCAGACTCGTTTTGGGAAAACCCACCAGATCACATCAGATCACTGAATGAAGCAACCCCCTCACTCAAGGCCCATAAAAGAAAGAACACTGAGATTAAGCTCTCACCGTGGCACCCTGACCCCATCACCTAGTTACTCCCCATGAGCTTTGCCCAGAAAAATCTCCATAGTGACCAACCTCTCTGCCCTCAGACTTTAGCAGAGTTTCTCTTGCTCAACTCTCACAGCCCACTCCAAGCTGACATCTCAAGCTGACACTCTGACAATGCCCTCTGTCTGGACCGTGGCCTAGAATGAACAAGTTCCTGCACATTGACAGCTCTGCAACCTGAATAAGTTCTTAGACTGGTTTGTAATTTTTTTTTTTTTTTGGTAGTGGGGGCGGGAGGGAGCACAGGGGATTGAACTCTGGGACGCTCAACCACTGAGTCACACCCCCAACCCTACTTTGTATTTTATTTAGAAACATGGTCTCACTGAGTTGCTTTACACCTCACTTTTGCTGACGCTGGTTTTGAATTTGAAATCCTCCTGCCTCAGGTTCCCGAGCCCCTGGGATTACAGGGGTGTGCCACTGTGTCTGGCTCCTAAACTTATCTGATGGTCAAGAGTGATTCTTTGCATTCATTTCTTTTCATTCATATCTGCTCTCTGTTGTTCAGCCTCCTGAACCTCCTATCTAAATAAGTATGTATAGTTGATAGATAAATAGACATTCTGAAACATATTTTTTTTCTGTAAAGTATGATGTGTTATCATTATTAAAAACTAAGATTGGAATAAAAGAATTTATTTTTGCCCAGTTTATGACTACAGGAGACCCACAGTATTCAGTAAACCCCACAGATGAAAGAGGTATAGCTTATGAATTTATCATTATCCAATAAATTCTGACATTGTGGAAAGATACAAACATATTTAGTCTATGTTAATGACATAGCTTGCGCAGGACAGATGCCATAAGCTTAACATATTCAAAGTTAGTAGCATACACCTGACTCGTAGAATACATAAACTTTTCAAAGTTTGATGCTGTACCACTGAGCTACATCCCCACACCTTAAAGTATTTTTCTTAGTAATTGTATGAACACAGATATTGCTCAGAGGGCAGTTCTTCTGGTAGATGTGTCATAGAAGGATGCTCTGTTCCTGGATAAACAACTAACTCTCACCTGTAAAATGCATGAATCTAGGTAGGATTATTTTGTCAAAAAGCACAAAGTTGTCACTTTGTGTAAGATATGTTCTGAAGTTGTCACTTTGTGTAGGATATGTTCAGACAGGCCAGCCACCAGAACAGGAAAATACTCTTAAGTTTTATGTTGCTTGATTCTAATAACAAATAAAATTAGGGCACCTATTTTTATGTCCTTTTTTCATTTCTTTTTGTTTCATAAATTTATTTGATTACATTTTACAAAATGTTTGTGACATCAGTTTGTGACACTTTGTGGGGAAACCAACCTGTCCTTCAGCTGTAGGGAGTGCATTTCCCATAGAAATCCTCACGTGCTCACACAAACAGAGGGGTAAAAGGACCTGAGTCGCAGCTTAGCTTCTAAAATTGAAAAATTGGAAACAATCAAAATACTGATGAACAAGAGAAAGGAGAAATAAATTTTGGAATATGCATATACTGGGAAATGATTCTGTATATTAAATGAATTAAACCACAACTGCATATGTCAACAAGAATGAATCTCAAAAACATGTTGGGAAGAAAAGGAAGCTGCCAGAGAAGAACTACAACATGATACCACTCATTTACAGGTTGGCTCAGACAATGACAGTTACATATATACATTTTTATAGGTGTATTTTAGGAATGGCATAAATCCTTGGAGATTAAAACATCATAATAGCCACCTGGGAAAGGCTGGAGGGAAAGCAACTGAGGAGCTATTTTATTTCTTTGCACAAATTTGAGGTGTGGGTGACAAACTGCTATGATTTGGTGGAGTTGGGTGCAGGTAACAGTAAGATTTAATTGTTATTTTCTTATGCTTCTCTGTATGTTCGAAATTTTCACAAATATAGTTCTGGAACCTTCACATCAAATTTTTTTTTGTAGTTGTAGATGGACAGAATCCCTTTATTTTATTTGTTTATTTTTATGTGGTGGTATGGATCAAACCCAGTGCCTCACACATGCTAGGCAGATGCTCTGCCACTGAGCTGCAGCCCCAGCCCAAATCTGCCCAAACCTTTATATATACATATATTTCTCTTCAAAATTATGAACATCTTTGCATTTTCAGGATGAGTCAGTTTAAAGAAAGATATAAAGGGAAAAGTAAAGCAGGCAGCATATGGGCATGACCAAATCATGTGACATTCATACTGCAGAAATGCAGGATGGGAATTCTGGTAGGGTTTGCACTGTCCCTTTTTTATCCCAGCTGATCCAGGGTCTCAAATCAAATTCAAAGCTAAACCAACATCGATGTTGATAATTCTTATTCTCTTTCTTTAGATCTGATTTTTCCTACTCTCTTTTCTACCTTATCAATAGCTTATATGTATTTCAGGGCAGTGACATGTGCTGAGTTCCGTCCTAATTTTGTCATCTCTCCATCGTCCACTACAATAATCCAAATGGACTCTCAGATAAATGCCCTCTCCCAACGTTGGGCATCTGTCTTGCTAAAGTCCTCCCATTGTAGGAATAATACATCAATAAAGCAACTACAACAAACAGAAAATACATTCTAAGAAAACTTTCAAGCAAACAACGAACTGTAAATTCTCTCCCTGATGGCTTTTGTGCTTAGTGAATTATCACCTATACCTGAGTCTAAAGTACTTGTGAAAGCAGCAATTTTCCAGATGTACAAATGGGGCTTAGCCCAGGGACATGGTGAGTGGTCTTTGATACCCTGGAATGGAACCTTTTCTTGTTCGTTCCTAAAGTCTGAAGTAAGACTCTAGGATTCTGGCAGAAACCCAGTGTGGATTGTGAGAACCGCGGAGACACACAAGTGCTAGAATAGATACCTGGTATTCGACAGAACACGTAGGTAATGCCAGGTGACAGTGTTTAAGGAAATTGGAAAGTTGCCACAGTACACTCACTCCCTTATGATAGGAGTGTCTAAGTCTGTGCTTCTTTATTCTCCAACTGAAGCCTCATTCGCACTCAAGAGCATAGGCTGTGCGAATCCCTTCATGGAGCAATTCAAGGGCTACAAGATTCTGATTGCCGGGTTGCTCTTTCTGGTTTGCGTGAGTACTTCCCTTGCCTCTGATTCCTCTCATTGCTGGCTCATTTCTTCCTTCCCTATGCAACCTCCAGTTTGGATTGTAGGAGACCCGACGGAGGGAAGAGCTCAAAGTTTTGACTTCCATCTCGTGGGATTCTAGAAAGAGTAAATGCAGGGTGGAAAATCAGTTTAAGAAAGAAGGTGAGCAGATTGGATCCTGAGCTCCACTAGGGAATCTAAAACAAATTCAGAGTGTAATGTCAAAAAGCTGGTTTCAGGGCTGGAGTTGTAGCTCAGTGGTAGAGCACTTGCCTTGCATTCGTAAGGAACTAGGTTTGATTTTCAGCACCACCTAAAAATGAAAAAATAAAGCTATTGAATTCATCTACAACTAAAAAAAGAATATTTAAAAAAGAAGGCTGGTTCCACTGCTCTCCAAAGAAGCCAATAACTCAAGAAACAGAGTGATGGGGAAGGACCTTACTGGCAACAAGTCAGCAAGTTGGAAACCAGAATCTTAACCAGTCTTAAGGCCTCTTAAGTCTTAAGTCTTAAGAGCCATCTTGCTCAGGGGACTCAAGCATAATGTTTACATAGGGATTTGGAGGAGGTATACTTGTAGACTCAGAGAGATGGGTGGGACACCAGAGGTGGTCATAAATTTCTAGGTCGTCTGCTTTTCTGACATACATGGCCCTGCTATCTGAAGGTCACCGAATACTCTGGGTCTTTCAGAGACCCAGAAAAAAATACTATCAGCAAGTCCCTTTTTCCAGGAATAGCTAGCTACCTTGCAATTAATCCTTAAGATACAGAACAGGGAGAAGAGCAAGAGGCGATTATATTTCTGCCAGAGAACAGTTTTAACTTATTAGATGGATTCAAGCTGACAGCAAATAGTACATCATTCGACTTTGTGATCTCCAAAATTAGTCATTTTAAAAGTCAACTAAACTGAGGCAGGAGGATCACAATTTGAAGGCCAGCCTCAGCAACTTAGTGAGGCCCTAAGCAACCTGGCAAAACCCTGTGTCAGAATTAAAATAATAAATAAATTAAAAGGGCTGGGGTGTTGCTTAATGGGTAAGCGCCTCTAGGTTCAATCTCTGGTACCAAAAAACAAAAGGAAAAGGAAAAAAAAACCAATCAATTTAATCCGAGTGAAGCCAGAAGGTTTATTTGGGTTTCCTTTCAGGTATAAGAAGTTGTTATGGGGAACTCTCAATGGAGAAAAAAACAAGCTATTCATGGTGTTTTCTAGTCATGGTTTTCTATTCATCGCGTTCATAGTTTTCTCACCTTCCAAAAGCTCTCACTTTTTTTTTCTTTCTGCCCCAGTGTAAAAGAAAGAAATGGAAGTCTATAGTGTTCAGTTCTAGCTTTTTAGCAGAGAGAAAGAGGTAGAGGTTAAAAAAAATTCCTGACTAGAGAAAGAGCAAGTGAGCAACTGAGTGGAATGACATTTTATTGCTTCACTGAGGAACCTGGGAAAGGCCAGAAGCCATGAAACCTTCCAGAGAACGCATTTCCCTGTCTGTCCAACAGTTAACACTGAGCTTTCAATGATAGATAATTTTGAGCTCTAAATTCACGCTGTGGCACTCAAAAAACAGTAGGATGTTTTGCATGGAAATAGAGCTTTCTGACTTTTTCTTAGAAAGTGGATGATCTTCAGAAAGGCTTGACAAGTCAGTCTTCATCCTAAAACCAATGAAAGAGTTAAATAGAAAAATCCTAGTCCCTTAATAATAAGTCCGAAGAAGGTGTTCATTTCATTTCCAGAGTATCCTTGTCCATGTGAAAGGGTGAGCGAGACTTCTTTGGGTCTCAGCCAGAACTTTCTACCTTGTAGAAGTAGTTAAGCTACAACACAGATAAAAATACGCATAAAATCTTAAATTCTCAATAAAAGTCAAAGATACCACACCTGTGTGATCTCGATCCAAGTTGAGAAATGGATATTTCCATCACCCTCAGAAGCCTCCTCTCAAGCCCCCTCCCTGTCACTCCTACCCTCACTTCTTTCCAAGGTAGCCTATACCTTGACTTAAGACAATATTTAAAAATTTTGCCTGACTTTGAATTTCTTAGAAAAGTAATCACACTATGTACTTGTTTATGTTGTACCTTCTTTTGAGAAATGTCTATTGAGATCATTAGCTCTTTATTGGGGGATGGAGTACTGGGATTGAATCAGGGGCACTTAACCAGAGTCACATCCCAAGCCCTTTCTATTTTGAGAAAGGATCTCACTAAATTTCTTAGGACCTTACCAAGTTGTTGAGTCTGACTTTGAACTTGTAATCCTCCTGCCTCAGCCTCCTGAGATGCTGGGATTACAGGTGTGTACTACCTTGCCCAGAAATTTCCTTTTTTTTTTTTTTTCCTGGGGATTGAACTCAGGGGTACTCAACCACTAAGACACATCCCCAGCCCTGTTTTGTATTTTATTTAGAGACAGAGTCTCACTGAGTTGCTTAGTGCCTCACAGTTGCTGAGGCTGGCTTTGAACTTGCAATTCTCCTATCTCAATCTCCCAAATCGCTGGGATTACAGGCATGCACCACCATGCCTGGCCAATTTGCTCAATTTTAAAAATATTTTTTCTTGTTGTTCCTTGTATATTCTTAATGTTAGAAATAGTTTGCTCATATCTTCTCTCATTCTCCAGTTTGTCTCTTCCCTCTGTTGATTGTTTCCTGTGCTGTGCAGAAGTTTCTTAGTTTAATATAATTCCATTTGTCTATTTTCTGCTTTGGTTGCCTTACTTGGGGATCTTCCCCCAACCACCACCACACAAAAAAATCTCTGCCTATATCAATATCTTAAGGTATTTCTGTTATGTTTTCTTTTAGTAGTTTATAGTTTCTGGTCTTCCATGTAGGACTTTGATCCATTTTGCTTTTTTTGTTGTTGTTGTTGTTGTTGTTTGTTTGTTTTGGTATAAGGTGAGGGAGAGGGATCAAGTTTCATTCTTCAGCATATGGATATCCAGTTTTCCCAGTACTGTTTATAGAGACTGTTCATTCTTTAATGTATGTTTCTGGCACCTTTGCCAAAGATGAGTTGGCTGTGATGAGTGGGTCGATTTCTGGATTCTCCATGTATCAGCCTTTATGCCCATATCATGCTTCACTGGTTATTTCAACTTTGTAATATGCTTTGAGGTCAGGTATTGTGAGGTCTCTGGCTTCATTCTCTTTGCTCAAGATTACTTTAGCTGCTTGGGGTCTTTTACAATTTCACATGAGTTTTCAGACTTTTTTTTTTTTTCAATTTCTGTGAAGAATGCCATTGGTATTCCCATGGGAATTACATTGTATCTGTAAATCGCTTTGAGTAGTGTAAACATGTTAATTCTTCCAATCCATGAACTTGGGATGTCTTTGCATTTTTATTTATTTATTGTGGTGTCTTCTTCAATTTCTTTTATCATTGTCTTATAATTTGAATTGTATGGTCATTCACTTTCTTAGTTATATTTATTTCTAGAAATTTTATTATTTTTTGTGACTATTATAAATGTGATCACTTTTTTGATTTCTTTCTAGGCAAGTGTATTGTTTGTGTTTAAAAATGGTATTGATTTTTCTACATTAATTTTTTGTGTCTTGTGACTTTACTGTGAGTTTCAATTCTGACAATTTTTTGGTGGAGTCTTTAGGTTTTTCTACATATATTATATCGTTCTTTGCCACTTCTGCTGTGAGAATGAAGATCATTCTCAGCAACCAGACTATTCATATTCCAGAAAATGTTGGTATGACTGTGAAGGGATGGGCCACAGAAGAAAGTACCTTTCATTACATTTAAGTAGTTTATTTCTTCTTCTGTTTTACTTGGAGTTTTAACTACAAATGGATGCTGACAAATGAGAGGCCATTTCAGCATCTATTAGTAAATTCACATGGGCTATATTTTTTTCATCTTTAGATTTTGATATAGTACATTGCATTGATAGATTTCCTGATATTGAACCACCTTTGAGTTTCTGAAATAAATGCTCTTGGAATAAACTATGTTATCCATTTGTTTTACTGCTGTATTTTATTTAGAATTTTCATATCTGTAAATAAACACAAGATACTGTTGCTATTGATATCAAGAGCAGGTGGTAGCATAAAATGAATCAGGGAGTTCCTATCTTTTTATGGTCTGAAGTTCAAGTTGGTTGCACCAATTTGTATTCTATAAGCAATCTTTGAGCATTCCTAGGGACCTCCATCTATTAATACCATGTACGGTCACATTTAGGCTAACTTTGTGGGTATGTGATAGCGTCTCATTGTGGTTTTCATTTACAATTACCTAATTATTTAGAATTTCTGGATGTTGTCTTTTGCAAAGGATCAGTTCAAGCTTTTGCTTGTTTTTCTGTCAAGTTGTCTGTTTTGTTTCTAAATCATAGAATTTCTTTATATATCCTGGTTCTTAGTGCTTTGTTTGTTGTATATTGCAAATATCTTTTTCCTCACAGTGATTTATTTCTTTCATTTGTAATAGTATCTTTCATAAACCATTTAATAACATTTAACAAAAGGTATCTTTTCTTAACTTTAAAGGAAGTTGTATTTGTCAGTTATCAAAATGTTCTGTGGTGGTTAGTACTTTTTTGTATTATGTTTAGTTTTCTTCATCTAAAACATGTGAACATAGTCTCTGTAAGTGCAAGTGACCAAATGACAGAGGCCGGAGATGGGAAGCAAACCTCGAATCAGCAAACTTTCTTTTATTCTGCAACAAAGTCAGTCCATCAGGCATAGGATGACTCATTTTCTGGGTACAGGAAATGGCCCCAAGGTTACAGAAGGAGCCTGGGTCTTATAGTTTACAATCAGGATGAATTAATCATTGGAGATGCGGATGTGTGGTGGTTTGGACAGTGAGAGACCTAGTTGTGCGGGTTGAAATTTTAACTGAGGAAGGCAGTTGTAAATCGTTTGAAACTCCTTGTCATTTGGGAAAGCTTACAAGTTGGTGTTCACTGCTTATCTTCCTTCCTCTGGGACCCACTGTCACCTAGAGCTTCACTATTTGGTTTTCTCCCTCCAGGACTCATCTGCAATGGGGAAGGATAAAGTCCAGGGCCCAGAATTTCAGTATTTGCCTCCTTCCTTGAGGACCCATTGGGGTTGGGAAGAGGCAAATATTTGCTTTTGGTGGAGATGCTGGGTGAATCTGGGAAGGGATGAAAGTTTGCTTTTTTTCCTTTTTGTTGGCCCACTGCTATCAGAAAGGATGTTCTGGGAGAGGTTTAAGGTTTGGCTAATTTCCCCTCCCTCCTCCCGAGTCACACTGTCCCTTCATTTTTCCTGGGGAGCTGTCTTGTAGGCATATTATTTTTATTAACCCTTCAGTCTCCTATTTGTCACCTAAAAATATTCATAGGTTTTTGTCTTTCATGTTTGTTCTTTTATTAACTTAGAATGACTATTTGTAAATACTCTATTCTCTTATTCTGTTTGTCTATTCATGTACCACTTACTAATGCTTTATGGTAAGACTTTTTTAGAAACTTTTAATTTCACTGATAAATAGCAAGTCTTAATATTTGGTAGAATAAGTTTTTTACTGTCCTTTAAATATGTCTTTCTTGGACTTCTCTCTCTGTCTCTGTCTCTTTCTCGCTCTCTGGATCTCTTCTTTCTCCCTCCATTTTTCACTTATAAGGGCCCTTATATTTATACTAGACCCACTCAGGTAAACCCAGATAAATTTGCACTCTCAAATCGCCTGATGAGCAACTTTAAATCTCCTTTGACATGAAATCTAAGAAATTCATGGTGCATGGATTTTTTTTTTCCAAGGAACAGGAATAGCCAAGACCTTTTTTTTTTTTTTTTTTTTTTTTTTTTAATGGTACTGGGGATTGAACTCAAGGGTGCTCTGGCTTTTTTTATTTTATATTTTGAGACAGGGTCTCACTAACTTTCCAGACTGGCCTTGAATTTGTGATCCCTCTGCTTCAGTCTGCTGAGTCACTGGGATTACCAGTGTGTGCCTGCAACTCATCGTGTTGGATCTTGAGACAATGCAGTACAATTTAACATGAGGCACATCTATAAATAAATAGCCAGGTTAGGAGACAATGGGAAGGAGAACAGCAAGTTCTTTACCCTGTGCCTCATGACACAAAGCTGCACGAATAGCCTCCCAAGATGATTGCTCTGAGCTCCCACTCCTAATTCCAGAATAACTTCACATTAAAAGTCTTTCCCACAGATTGGAATTGAGATGTGTTGGTAAATTGCCTTTTTACTGAGGTCCCCTTGCTGAAATGGAAGGGATATTGATGGATATTGGTGGGTGAATATCTGATACACAGGTACCTCAATTCCTTTCACCCACCACCAGCCCTATGGTGTAAAACATGGCCTCTCTCCATGGCTCTTCCCATTTGGAACTTGCACTTATCTGGAATGTATTTGTGACTTTGTAATGCCAGTGAGGTCTGGGACCCTGGAGGAGACTCCTTTTCATAGCATACACTGTGCCTCACTTGGAAATAATCTGCAGTATCTCTCTTATTTTGCCAGCCCATACCTGACCTGTGCCTTTCTAGAATTTCCTGACTTTCCAGTGATTTCTGAGGGTCAATCTCTTCAGCTGAGCCCAATTGGAGAGGGAGTTCACTGAGGGGATGGTCTCACCTTGTTCTTCCGTAATCCTCAAGAAAATTGAGTAAAGGGTTTGCCCACCTTGACTTTCAACTAGAAATGTAGGTTGGAGGTGGGAATTGTGGAAAGAGGGGAAAGGAGAGGAAGGTCACTGAGAATACCAGGCTCTGGGGAGGAAGCAGGGTTTATGAAGAGTGAGGAAATCAGAGATCTGAGGGTTAGGTCCAGGCTGGCTCATAACTCAGGGAGCAGGTGGATATGGGGAGACAGTTGGCAGTGGACGGAATAAGAAGGCTAAGGGAAGGAGGCAGTTGAACTAACCTTTGCAACATGAGATGCTTCTTTTGAATAAAGATGGGGATGACTTGGATGCCAGTCTTATGAGAGACAGACAACATGATGCAGGTAGGGAGAAGCCCTGGGTCCTACCTGGCAGTGGGAACTGAGCTTTGGTGAATGGAAATCTCCTTCCAGTAAGAAAATGAGAGAAGTAGAAACCACCAACAGATTCCTCTTTCTCTCCCCCCAGGTGTTCTATTTCAAGATGTCCTGGACTGACAACATCATCTATCGGGCTCCAGGACCCCGGCCTGTCTCTAAATATGTCTCCAACTCTGTGGAGTCACTCTTCCTCTTGGATTCTCTCCCCCAGGAGCTCTCCAACCTGACCCACCTTCTATATTGGCCTCTGACTCCAGGAGATAGGGGGGACTTTTTGGCCTCCACCAGCCCCATGACCTCCACCTACCACCTGAGGGGTCCTGCTCAGGACACCTATGCCCTGGGAGGCTACCTGGAGGTTGTCCTTGTGGCCAGGGACCACCAAGGCAGGCCCAAGACCCATGGTGGGGATCTGTTTCAGGCACGATTGCTGGGTCCAGAATTGAGAGCAGGGGTCCCTGGGGATGTCCAGGATCTGGAGAATGGCACATACCTATTGTCCTTCCCTCTGCTCTGGGCTGGGAAGGCCCAGGTGCAAGTGCGGCTGATCCACTCCAGTGAGGCTGTTGGGGTTCTGCGCAGAATCTGGGAAGAGAAGAGGGCCACTGTTGATTTTAGGGGGTATTTCCAGGGCAGTTCTGGTGTTACAGAGACTGTGATTTGCAATGTTGACCCTCACTCAACTGGAGCCAAAGGGCATACCTGCCAGTACAGGGATGTGGTTTCTGGTGAGCTCTGGTTCTGTGCTCAACCCCCTACTCTGCCCTGCAACTCTTTGGTTGCTCACTCAAGCGGGAGTTACCTGAAGGTGACCACACCACGTGATGAGGCCCTGCTGGCAGGGTAAGAAACCCAGAATCTGGGATATGGATCCCAACCCTAAGCGTCATCTTTCCTTCCAAAGCTCACTCCTGTGATCCAAGGGCCCTCCACCACTTCTACCACTTGCACCCCTCAGCAATTATTCCTACTCTAATCCAGCACAAGCTTGTTGAACAACAAGCAGGTGACAGACTTTGCTAGATAAACATAGAGTACACTGTCAGGCTTTATCTTCAGAGAAGGTTATTACTGATCTTGGGTTTGAAGTTCAATGAGAACTTATCTAGGAAAGATAAGAGGCAAAGTATTAAATATAAAACAACTTATCTCAGGGCAAAAGTAGCTTAAGTGCTTTATTTATCTGGGTTCCTGCTTTCACTTTTATTTTTTATTTTAATTTTTTTATATTTATTTATTTTTATGTGGGACTGAGAATCGAACCCAGGGACTCACATATGAGGCAGGCACTCTACCACTGAGCCAGCACCCCAGCCCCTTCATTTTTATTTTAACCTGACAGTTCATTACTGCTTTATTAGATCTTCAGGTATTTAGTAGATTTTTAAATTACTTTCAGCAAAATGTGTTGTGAATACTTAAGTCTGTCACTCTATTTCATGAGTTTGGGTGGCATTTTTAACATTGGATTCTTCACCTTCTTATAGTTTCTTTCCTTTTTTGTAGTTTCATGATTCAGAACACTTAACACCATCTATTTCAGTCTTCCTTTTATGGAGTAAAAATGATCAGGGATATAAATTTCCCTCGAGTACGGCTTTAACTGTATTCTCCAAATTTTTATATAGAGAGGCTTCATTTTTATTTTACTTAACATATTTTATAATTTCTACAGTTGCTACCTCTTTAATTCATGAATTATTTACAAATTACTTTTAGTTTTGTGTAATTTGTAAATGATTCATGAATTATGTACTTTTAAGGTTTTTGAACTTTGCAGGGTGCCATAAAACACGCCTGTATTCCAGTGACTCCAGTTTTTTCTTTGGATGCTACATTTCACTGAAAGTAATTTACATTCTATATTTTTCCAGAAAGAAATTCTGAGCCTATTTAATTTAATTTGTTAAGTTTTAACTTTTCAACTTTTATATCTTCACTAATGTTGTGTGTCTGCTTAATCTAATAGCTTCAGACATAAATGTATTTATTATATTGTGTTTGTCAATTTATAGGTTATGATCAGCTTCCCCTCTCTCTTTTTTGTGGTGTTAGAGATTGAACCCAGGGCTTCATACATGCTAGGCATGTGCTCTACCACTGAGCTATACCCCAGCCCAACGATATCTCTTTGTAACACAGCAGTTTTCATTTCATACATTTGAGGCAATGCTGTTCTGGACATTTGTCTCTGGGTTTGTTTCATGTTATTGGTAAATTGATTTGGGATTAGGAAAATACTATTATACTGTCACAAAGAAAAATATAGGTAAATTGGGCAACAAATAAATCAAATACTTCTCCCTTACAAAAAGTACCATAATTAAGTCAAACTAAAATCTGGAAGGTGATATCTATAACACATTGAACTGACATAATGATGTTAGTACTAGGAGTAAGTAAAGAAATATTCAAAGCATTAAGAAATATTATATAGCCCAATAGAGCAATAAGGAAAAATGTAAATAATAAATTAAAGAAGATTTGAATAGGGAATAAAAAATATACATGCATCCTCATTCCTTTTAAGTTTTTTAAAATTTGAGTCAGATTCTTGCTAAGTTGCTTAGAGCCTTGCTAAGTTGCTGAGGCTGGCTTTGAACTTGTGATCCTCCTGCCCTACCCTCCCAAATTGCTGGAATTACAGGCATGCACCACCACACCTGACTCCCAAGTATAATATGTTAATCTGAAAAAAACAAAGAGTGATGAGAATGGGTAGTGGTAGAAAATCTCATATCTACTGGTAGGGGTGTTAATACCATTACTTATACCATTACTAAAAACGTAATGAGTAATGATAGACACATATTATACCTAAAGTTTTAAAACTTGCAAACAATTCTAACTAGGGTTTTGGATTCATAAACATATATCAGCTGTATAAAATGTGGATAAAAATATAAACACTGAATTTATGATAGTGACTTCATCTTTTTGAGCAACAGTATGAAAGAGGGCAGGAGCATGGGGGGTGTGCCTGAGGAACCTGTAATGATCAATTTATTAATGTTCAACTATTAATTGTGAATAATTACACCCACAGGAAGTTGCAAAAAGAATACATTGAATCATCTGACCCTCTGGTCCAATTTCCCCCAATGGCAACATTTCATATATGAAGTACAAAATCAAAACCTAAAATGAGCATTGGTACAATTCTGTTAATCAGACCAAAAAAACCATTCAGTTTTCATCAGCTGGTACATGTAGTTTGTGTGTGAGTGTGTGTGTGTGTTTCCACAAATTCACCATACATATAGATGGGTGTAACCACCATTACAATCAGGATACAGAAATGTTCTGCCACCAAAAGGAAAACCCTTCTGCTCTCCCCAGTGCCTGTTCTTTTCAACTGGCAACTCTTTTTCTGTTCTTTATCTCTACAGTTTTGTCATTTCTAGATGGTTCTATAAATGGAATCAGTATGTAGTCATTTGAGATTTTTTTTTTCACAAAGCACAAAGTTCTCTAGATCCATCCATGATGTTGCATCTATTGATAATTCACTCCTTTTTCTTGCCACTGATATTCCAGTGTGTACATTTGTTGAGCCATTTGCCCATTGAAGGACATTTGGGGTGTTTCCAGATTTTAACTATCATGAATAAAGCTTCTATGAATATTAATATACAGGTTCTTTTGTAAAAAAAAAGATTAAAAAAATTTTTTTTTCATATCTGTGGAACAAAATGCCTAATTGCAGTTTTTTGGTTGTGTAATTGGTAGATATTTAGTTTTATAAGAAACTGCCAAACTATTTGCCAGAGTGGCTATACCATTTTATATTCCCACCAGCCATGTGTAAGAGACCCAATCTCTGTGTTCTCTCCTGCATTTAGCTTTATTATCTTAACATTTTGGCTATTGATCCATTTCTTTTTAAAGAAAAATTGGATTCATGTCTGGAAAAATATTAATATCTAATAGATCTGGATGCTGAATACGCAATAAAAATATTTTAAATGATGCATAGAAGAGGGGAAAGGAGTCTGGAAGAGTTATAGCTACAGAACGAAGTAATAATGGACTGGGTGTGGTGGTGCATACCTGTGATACCATTAGCTTGGGAGGCTGAGGCAGGAGGATCCAAAGTTCAAAGCCATCCTCTGCAACTTTGCAAAGTACTGAGCAACTCAGCAAGACTCTCAAAACAAAAATAAATAAATAAATAAATAAAAAGGTCTGGGATGTAGCTCAGTGGTTAAGCACTCCTGGTTCAATTCAATTCAACTTTGGGTACCAAAAAGAAAATAAAACTACAATAAAAACAAATAATGGAAGACTGGAGGGGTTTTAACTTTTTGTTTAAACAATAAAATCAAATTTAGTGAAGTTTCATTTACATGCAATGAAATAACCATGTTTCTAATGTGCAAGTCAATGTGTTTTTTGATTGCTAAGACAGTCAAGCTAGAGAACATTTTCCCCTGAAGTTCTCTTGCACCCTTCACTGTCAATTTCTTTCCTCTACTAACCTCCAGTCCCAGGCAATCAAACAGCCTTCTGACAGTAAATATAGGTTTTGCCTTTTGTAGAATTGCATAAAAACAGAATCACACAGTATACAGTCTTGTATCTGCCTTCAGGTCTGTGAACTGTTTCTGAGACTCATCTCTGCTGTTGTATATCAGTAGCTTTTCCTTCCTATTGCTGAAAGGCTTGTGTCTTATGGAGGTAGCACGATTTGTTGGTCCATTCACCTCTCTGTGAACATTGAATCATTTCCAATTTGGGCCATTATAAAGAAAACTGCTGTGAACATTGAGGTATGAGAGTTTTGTGGACAAACATTTTCATACTAAGTAAACAACTATGGATTCAGCTTTTAAATTCATAAACATTACTTTTTGGAATAATTTTAGATTCACAGAGAAACTAAGAAGATAACATGGGGTTCCTGCATTTCATTTCCTGCATAGTATCTCTTCTGATTCACATCTTACATGAATATGGTACATCTGTTTCAATTCATGAACCTGTGATAAGGCATTATTAACATTACAGTCCATTGTTTATTTAGATTTGCCTAGATTTGTAACTAATGTCTTTTATTTCTTATCGGAGATCCCATTCAAGTTCCCACATTACATTCAGGCTTATCTTGGTTTGTAACAGTCTTTCTGACTTTGTCTTTGATGACCTTGAGTTTTGGAGAAGTACTGATCAATTATCTTGTGGGATTCTCCTCTATGGAAATATATCTGATGTTTCTTGTTTATGATCAAACTGGGATTGTATATCTTGAGGAGGAAGATTGTGGAAGTAGATTACATTTCCATCATATCACATCACAGGTACAAACTATGAATGTGGTTTGTGTCCATTGGTGTTAATCTTGTTTGCCTGGCCAAGGGGATTTTCTTTAGGTTTCTGCACTGTAAAGCTACCCTCCCACCCCACCTCCTTTCTTACTGTAACTTTGGAAATCAGTAGGCACAACTCAACTCAAAGAGCAGAGATGTATGTCCCCAGTGTCTGAGTGTTCATGTAAAAACAACGAAAAATTCTTTTGCTCCCTGTCCTTCCAGAATTTAGTGCCAGGAAGTGATTTTCCTCCCTGACATTCTGTGTATTTCCATTTATAGAAAATGAAAACTCTGTGATCTGGCTTGGTTGTCTTTCCTCACCTTGACTATTAGTAAGCTAAGAGTCCAATGAGTAGATGAAATGCAGAAAGTCTCTCCCCCAGACTCCAGATAATGGCCCCAGATTATAAATGTGCTAATTATATTGGAATTTTCTAATTCCTTTTTGGAATTAGAGTGGAAACAACAAGTCAATCATCAAATCCCTTTAGTAACTCCAAATTTCACCGGGTAGCCCTCTCACAAAGCTCTCTCTCTCTCTCTCTCTGTTTCTCCAGCAAAGTGACTGATAAGCTGCTACCTCAGGGTGTTGCTCCAATTCTGATCAGACCAGCAACCACAGAAAACATCAGTCGGGGTGAGTGGGGCTGAGTCATGCTGGGAGTGGAGGGTGATGATGGACCTATATGGGTTTTGTTCCTTGACCGAGAGGCTAACCTCTCCCTTCCAGGGTGGTGGAGTACAGGGGTTAGCAGCACGGACTGTGACACCAGGCTTCTTGCATTCACATGCTATCCCTGCCAGTCACTGTTTTTCTTATTTCAACCATTTCATTGAAGTATGGATTGACATACTAAAAGCTGTATACAACTAGATGCGTTTGGCCATAAACACACCCCATGAAACCATCACCACAATCTGTGCCATAAACATACTCAACTTCTAGCAGTTAAATTTTAAGATTGTGATGGGACTGATGAAGAGAAGATTGAGAGTAAATTAGACTTTAAAGTCTTACTTTTTGACTGAGGAGCTCATTTTTTATTTTGCAATTTTAGGAATATACAGAACACTGAGGGTATGTTTTCCATCTATTGTTCTATATAGATGACTAAAATGGAGATCCTATTTCATGCCCTGTATATCTAGAGATGTTCTATAGTAAAGGAAAATATATGCTTTAATACCCTCCTGAAATTATGATATATTTTTTAAAATTTTATTTATTTATATATTTATTTGGTCTTGGGGATTGAACTCAGGGGCACTTAACCACTGAGCCACTTCCCCAGTCCTATTTTGTATTTTATTTAGAGACAGGGTCTCACTGAGTTACATAGTGCTTTGCTGTTGCTAAGTCTGGCTTTGCTCTTGAGATCTTCCTCCTTCGGGATCTTCCTCCAGAACTGCTGGGATTACAGGCGTGTGCCACCAAGCCAGGCATATTTTAATTAAATACTCCATACACGTTAAAAAATATATTCATTACCTTCCAAAATTTCCTCCTGCCACTTGTGTTTATTATTACTGTTATGGTGTATGTAACACTTGGCATAAGATTTTTCCCTCCCAGCAAATTTTCACTCTGCAATACAGTATTGTACACTATACACTCAGGGTTGTAGAGTAGATCTCTTGGACTTATTCATCCTGTAAAACCGAAACTTTGTCTCTTTTCTCCTTCATCTTCCTGCTTTCTCTTCACCTACGCCCATGGCAACCATCATTCTGCAGTCTGCCTCTTGAGTCTCATAGTTTAGATCCCTTGTGTCATTGAAGCCAGTGGTCTTTGACCTTCTTTGGCCTATTTCACTTAGCACAACATCTCTGGAGATCAACCACGTTTTCACAAATGGCAGGGTTTCATTCCTTTTCTTTTTGCTTTTTCATTTTCCTAGCTATACCAAGGAAAAATTGACAAATGAAATGCATGTTTTTAAAGCATACAATGTGATGATGTGGTATAGGTACACGTTAAGAAGCAATCACCCACAATTGAGTTAGTTGGCCCATCCATTGTCTCTCATAGTTTACCTGGTTGTTTTATTTTTAGTATTTTTTTTAGTGTGATAAGGACAACATAAACTTAATCTCTTAGCAAATTTCAAGTATATAATACAGATAATTAAGAATTATTGTCACCATGCTATACATTAGGCCCCCAGAATGTATTGATCTTATAAATGCAAGTTTGTACGTTTTGGCCCAAATCTTCCATTTTCCCCTCTCCCCAAGTCCCTAGAAATCTTCATTCTACTCTATTTTTAAAATTCATTTTTAGGTTCCATATAGGTGAGATCATATGGTATTTGTCTTTCTCCGTCTGGCTTCTTTCTTTTTTGTGTGTGTCAGGGGGCACAGGGAATTCAGCCAAGGGATATTTTCACTGAGCTACATCCCCAACCTTTTTATTATTATTTTTTAAAAATTTTGAAAAAGGGTCTTACTAAATTACTTACAGCCTTGCTAAATTGTAGAGGCTGGCCTCAAACTTGCAAGCCACTTATCTCATCCTCCCAAGTTGCTGGGTTTACAGGTGTGCACCACCAGGCCCAACTGTCTGGCTTATCTCCCTTAGTATAATTCCCTTCAAGTTCATCCATGTTGTCCTAAAAAGCAGAATATCCTTTCTTAAGAATGGATAATATTACTCTGTATGTATGTCCTGTTTTCTTTACCCATTGATCCATTGCTAGACATTCAGTTATTTCCGTGTCTTGAATATTTGTGAATAAGGCTCCAATGAATGTGAAACTGTGGATAATCTGTTTGAGATCCTGATTTCACTTCCTTTTAGTATATACCCAGGAGTGGTATTGTTGCACCACATAGGAGTTCTGTTCATTATTTTTTGAACTTCCAATCATTGATCTTGATCACATATTGCATAACATTTCATGTCCTAATGTCCCTACTCTCACCAGATATAAGAATGGTATGTCATAGGTTTTGTCAAAGAGTAAATGAAAAAAATACATGTAAAGCACACAGAAGAGTACCTGACATCTTCTAGATGTTAATGTTGGTTCTTTTTATTTTTTATTTATTCTGTTCTGCTTTTCTCCTTCCTATAGTGCAATCCCCACAGACCAAGTGCCGCCCTGGCCTTCTGGCCCCAAAGCCCTCTGGCTTCTACCACCAAGATGTATGGCATTCCCTGTCCTGCTCTGGCCAGTCCTTCCCCACTGTTGACAGCATCCTGGGCTGCCTGGCTGGCCACATCATGCACATGATGGGGGACTCCACGCTTCGGCAGTGGTGGGAATATCTATGTGACACAGTGCCCTGTGAGTGACAAATGGGGACTCATGAAGAAACAGGTGACCAGAGAGAGATTTGAAGGAAATTGCAGTGCTTGGTGGAGAGGTGGGCAGGATGCTGGGTGCTCCTGAAAGGCGAGTGAATGAGGAGGGCAGAGTTATCACTGGGCTGCCTTCCTGGTTTAATTACCATGGAGCGCCAATGAGAGCATCAACCTTTCAAATAACAGCGTGTGGTGATTCCAAGAGTCCTCATTTAATTTCTAAGTAGAATCCTCAGTGAGTCTCTCAAAGATTATTAAAGTGAGAAAAACACAAAGTTCACAAATTTGCTGGGAGGAGTACTGGGGTTTGAACTCAGGGGACTCAACCACTGAGCCACATTCCCAGTCGTATTTTGTATTTTATTGAGAGACAGGTTCTCACTGAGTTCCTTTGCACCTCGCTTTTGCTGAGGCTGGCTTTGAACTTGAGAACCTCTTTCCTTAGCCTTACAAACCACTGGGAACTATAAGCATGGGCCACCCAGCCCGGCCACAAAGTTCAAAATTTTATCTCACCCCCTCACCCTGCACCTCAATTTTTTTTTCTTGCTGTTGTTGGATTCTTTGCTGATCTTGTGCAGTCACTTGGTAGAGATAGTGGTTCCCTTAGCACCTAAGGAGGCAGTCACTTCATTGAATGTGTCTTGTCCCCTCCAAAATTAGAACAACCCAATCCCAAACCTTCCATTTTTCTAAATAGTCAAGATTAATGGAAAACAATATCACAGGACTTCTGAGTACCTTCCTGCCATTTTTGAAAACAAAAGCAAACACTCAGCATCTTTAGCAGTGATTTTGAGTGAAATTCTGTTCCTAGAAACCAGCACCTACTTCCGATATATTATAAATCGCAGGATCTGAGATTCTAACTGAGTGGCAGAGCACTTTCCTAGTATGTGCAGGGCCCAATGTTCTATTCCCAGCATCACGAACACACACACACACACATCTAACAATGGAGA